GTATGAGTTCGTTGATTGGACTCAGTAGAATGGATGTTTCCATAGGATGGACCAGACGAAGATGACTCCTACATAAATTATTTGATATATAAATAATAGTTGAAAATATTAATATAGTAGTTTCCACCTTTACTATTTTACTTACATTTTTTCTAAAGTTGTAACCTACATAAGAAGGGATTTCAGATGATTCACACTTCAAACTAATAATAAATGACAAATAATGTGGAGTAGAACACTCACCATCAAAGGAAATCATATTTTTTTTTGGGTTGATGCGCCTCGTCCTCATCAACATTGTAAACATCGCAAACTTTCTCCCAAGTCAACATCCTAATATGAAACCCCTGCAAGATACGAGTATAAAAACTATTTCGTTGTATCGCAACATTTCCCCGAATTATTGGGAACATCTCTCATATACATATCTTGTAATAAATATACAATAAATGATAAGTGTTAGCACTAACTAACTTTATCAAAAAATAAAGTCAGAAAAATTTAGAAATGTATATTTTTACCTTCAAAGGTATAACAAATTAAATCCCGATAGTGTATACACATACGACTTTGTTGGATGATTTCACATATGATCCTTAAATTTTTTAACATACCCGACAATCTAGGGTATATTAGACCATAGATAGCCTCCCAAGAGAACCTATATTATATACAAAAGTGATAGTTAAATGTATAAAAGTAGTATTTTATTAAAAAATATTAAATTGACAAATACCTATTCCAATGATCCAAGTTCTCCACCACCCACAACCATTCCTTGGTCACTTTATCATTGAGCTCTTTTCCAAAAAAAACATTGATTGAGAATATATAGAAAAATTGTTTGCACACCATTATGAGTCGATATAGCATTGAACCAATGATTCATGATAAGTTCCTATAAATCACCTATAAGTGAACTAATGTCTGTGTGATGTGAGAAAACTCTTGACCGAAATGTATTATCACCATATCCGTGTTTATACATAGTAACAAATTCGGTTCTTGATCTCGGACACCAGCCCATGTGAAGTCCGGGCACAAGACAAAATTCCTCGGATCCAAATGACAATGTACGCCTAGAAAACTTAAAATGTAGATGCTCAGCCGCATCTATTTTAACAGTAGGGTGAAACATATGTAGTAACAACCCATGAATAAGAAGTTCGTCCCCAGACTCAGCTGGTAGGTCCAACAAGTAACCGAAACTATTTGTTGAAAAAAATCTCTCGCAGTGATCCGTTTAAACCACTCAAAACCTCATGTAACTTATGATATGAAGCTTTGACAAATATGTTACCCATCATCCTTTTGTTTGGAAGCTATAAAATTAAATAAACATTAAGGTTAAATAAAGTTTTATAAAAGAAAAAAGTGATAAACAAATAGAGAAAGCACACAATATAAGAATTAATCATTTCATATATTATATTTAGTTTGTATAAAAAACCAAAGAAAACTAATTGACAACATTTTTCGTATTTTCTAAGCTAATAGTATACCAAATATAACATTGTACTTTAAAAAAGGTGTGACAATAACATACTTTTTCACAAAATGGAAACATGGAATCATAACATATATACAATTGTTAAGATTTCGTAGAACCATTTTCTTTAGAAAAAAAAGAAAAAATATTAAAAAAAAAACCGTACCTTTAAGGAAACTTACGGTATACAATCATTTAATGCACAAACTGTGCATTAAGTGATTGTACATTGTAGGTTTCCAAAAAACCTATGGTTTTAGTATTTTTTTTCGAAAATAAATCACGGAATCAACAATATATACAATTGTTTATAGCTTATAACCTTTAAAAAAAACCGAAAAAAAAACAAATAAATCGTAGGTTTAAGGAAACCTACGGTGTACAGCCTTTTAATGCACAATCTGTGCATTAATCGATTGTACATCGTATGTTACCAAAAAACCTACGGTTTCGGTAATTTTTTTTTTAATTTTTGAAAAAAAAAAATCACAGAATGATAGCATATATACAATTTGTTACATGCTACAACCATTATTTAAAAAAAAAACAAAATAACATCTGTAGTGTTCATACGAAACCTACGATGTACAAGTCGACAATGCGTAGGTTTCGTATGAAGCATACAATTTTATTTTTTTTCGTTTTTTTAAAAAAAGCTATCCCCGCATACCAAAAGTACTCCTAATTAAAAATACAGTAAAATTTCGATAAAAAGTAGACGTACCTTGTTATTCTTCGGGTGATCCATTAAGAGAAAATAGTAGACAATGTAAGAAAAAAATAAGCAAAAAGTAATCTAAACTGAAAAATAATGCATTATATACTATGGGTCAATGAGCCATAAAAGAATAGACTGGCCACGAAAGAGAAGTCCATTGCCCTAAAACAGTATTCAACAAGCGTTATAGTCAACTATGGTCAGACTACTCTTTCATGGGTTATTTTTGGCTAAAGTCTTTTTTTTTTTTTTTGGCTATTTGGGATAGGTAATTCAGGAAATGGCTAAATTAGTAATTTTCTCATTTATATAACCTAAAATTCAGAATACTTAATTAATAAAATTGAAAATTATCACAGAATGACAAGTGAAATTTAATTTTTAAGAATTAACCACAAAACTACATATGTTAAAACGCATTAGGCTTCAAGGAGTGGCCTCGCCACTCCTATTATCAATACACTAGCTAAAGATGCTACATCACTCCCATTAAAATGTTAGAAGGCTTGCTAAGCTTGGTGTCGCTAGTTTGGTAACGAGAAGAGAGAGAAGGAGGGAGGGTGGGCTTTAATTGGTTGGCTTAATTTGTTTGTCATTTTTCCTTTTTTTTTTTTTTTTTTTCCAAACTCAATTCTAATTAAATTGTTTTACAAATCACTCCCTGTCTTTTACAAGGAGCTAATGTTTGATAATAAATGCTTACGTGGTTTAACAAAATCTGACGTGGTAGAGTGCTAAGAGTATTACCATTCCTTTTAACCTTAGAAAGTCACAAATATAAGAAATCTTTTTATTTATTATAGTAGAGTATTTTACAAAAAATATTATAATACACATGTGGTAGATAAAATAGAATTAATGCCATAAATGAAATAAAAAATTATGTTCTTTTTTCTTTTTAGTAGAACAACATTATTTTAAAAAATATCATATATAGGTTTATAAAATACCATTAAAACCATAAAAACAAGTATATTTTGTGATAAAAAGCTTTAATTGGGTACCTTTTGATGGTAATTCGTTATATCAAATTATAAATGGTGCTTTATGAAAAAAAAAACAAAAAGATTGTTACCTTGACCTTTAAATCGTTTCTAATAAATGAAAGTTTTTTTTTTGTCATTTGTCACGCTCTCAATTTGCCAAATGTCATATATTGTGGTTATTTTGAATTAATTTTTTTTCTACATGTCATTTTATGAATTTTCTATTTTACTATTATAATGTAACAATAATAATAAATGTAGTAATAAATGAATATCAATTCCATTAATAAATTTACCTTTTAATTTCAAAAATCCTAAAATTAAAGCTCATTAGTTTCTTTTTTTATTTAAATTATTTGGTTAAATTTAAAAAATAAAAAACATCTCAATTATAATAATTTCATTAATTTTCTTATTTTTTTATAGATCCAAAGATCTTAAATATTTTGACTTTTATATTTATATCTATTTATTTTTTTAAATTAATCTAGACAATTGTTGGAGATTTTTTTCACATCCCTCGAAAGGGTAAAAACGACCCTCGATCTTGTTCTTACACGTATGTCATGTCATCATTCAAAGAAAACAAGCTTGATAAAAAAATGTAAATATTAAATATTCAAGAACCAGAGAAAATCCCATTCGATATCTATATCAAACGGTCAAGTAACAAAGGCGAATCACAAGATGAAAGAAAATAATGATAAAAAAATCAAGAAGAAAAATGAGAAAAAAAAAAGGAACACTCAAAGGTTCCGACTTTTCATGCAACCAGAAATCTAGAAAATGTTATTAGTTGTCTACCTGATTCTTACTTAAAAGGCTGTAGATGAAAAGTGTCAGATGGCAGGGTATTTCAGTCTTTTAAAAGGGTGAGGGAGTATTGGAATTGAATTCTATCTGGAAAGTTGAAATCCTGTCAGTCATGGATTATGTGAATTCCAAGGGAAGTGATTCAGTTATAAATTTACTCCAAAGTTGGAGTAGAACGGAATTGGATTCCAATTTCTGCAGAATTCAATTCCATAGTAATCTTATTCTGTTAATGGGACTCTAAAGAAATGGCTAAAGTGGACCACATTAATCAAACTATAACATTCAAGTCCACAGGCTAAACTGTCACACTATCAATCCATGTCTTCATTTTATTCTTTTCAAAATTTGCAACTCTAAATAAATATATATCATGGACTATGAAGGTTATATGGATGCCCAAAATTAGAACAAAGAATATTGAGCTTGAATTTTGTGCAATTTATAATACATAGAAATTGAATGAAGTTTCTTGTATATGACTAAACTAAAGGCTGGGAATACTTTTCTTTGGAAGATGATCAACTTTTTTCCAAGAACAAAATTTAGAAAGAAAAAAAAAAAAACACTGAAAATCCATGCTTCTATATTCGATTTGAAATGACTAAGTGAGTATATAGAAGCTAAAAGAATTCACATGTAACTTAAATGGGTGGTTGTGAAATTCGTCAAAACGGGTTTGGGTCAAAATAGTAATATTTACATCACAACTTCATAACAAAGCAATTTAGGAGGTTGTTATACGCTTCTTCATTCATCACATTAAAATGAGTAATGAAGAAATAGATAATGAGTCGATTACCAGCTTCTTACTTTTCAATATTGGCACATTTAAACATCCATATTACAAATACCATACGCATATAAAATTCATATAAGACACAAATGTCATACACATAAAATCCAGTCTTATGAATAAGCAGAACACCAGTATTAAATAAGCAAAATAGTCATTGATAACATATATTAAAGAATTATTTGCTTTCAAGAGAATCTATATTGTTTCTCTTCCTCTCTTCATCTTGGCAACTCTTACCACAACTACAACGTAAATCTTGTCCATGGTTTCCTCAACAAACATGAAAAGCTTCCGTCTCCATTTCTTCTTGAAAAACAAAACTCCAATAACACCCAAAAACCCTGTTGCAAAACCACTCATTATGTCCACGTAGAACAACCATACCTTCGTAGGCTGCTTCTTATAAACTATTGTTGGGTCTTCCTCATGATTGGAGCAATTCTTTATCAATGGAAACCCACAAAGATCTTTGTTCCCAGCATATATTGATGGATCAGTAAGTGTCTGCAACTGATTTCCTGTTGGAATTCGTCTGGACAAATTGTTGTTTGACAAATTCAAATGGCTCAAAAAGTTCAAAGCAACCATGCTTGGAGGGATCATTCCACTCAACTCATTATTTGAGAAATCTAGAGATTCTAAATTCGTCATTTTTCCAATATTGTCCGGAATACCCCCACTGAGAAGATTATTAGACAAATTGAGACTCATCAACATAGAAAGTGCAGTTATCTCTATAGGTATTTCTCCAAAAAAATTATTGCTTGAAAGGTCCATGTTGTAAACCAATTGCAAAGTTGTTGTATATTCAAGATCAACACCTTTCGTGCTCTGAATCACATTTTGATCATCATCAATATCATCAATGGTATCCACCAGTACCGCACTTCCCTTAACCATGCCATTTAACTCTCCAAGACAATGTGGGATTGTTCCCGTTAAGTTGTTGTATGCAACATCGAAAATATGAAGTTTTGAAATTTTGCATAGTGACTGAGGAATACTTCCGGTTAGGTTATTTTTGTGCAATCTCAAAACTAACAAAGATGTAAGATTTTCTCCTATCGATTCGGGTATATTTCCAGAGAATTGATTATCACCCAAATCTAAGACCACTAATGATTGTAAATTCCCCAAAGCTCTAGGAAGTTTACCAGTAAATTTATTGTCATTCAAATTTAACCGAATTAATACTGAACACTTAAGAGCTATTGAACTTGGAAACACACCGGATAACTGATTTGAGCTAAATATCATGGTACCCAACCATTCAAGATTCGCAAGACACATGGGGATTTTCCCACTTAACCTATTTCTTGAAAGATCAAGTAATTCCAAATATGTCCTTCTACATAATGACATTGGAAGCGAGTCATTGAAATGGTTATTTTGAAGAAATATTCCTGAGGTAAATCTTCTCGTAGACACATCAGAATATCCCGCATTAGGAAGATTTGTAAGAGGTCCATTGAGTTTATTGTGAGAGAGATCCATGAGAGGAATGATGGGCATCTTCCGTAACCATGTGGGCAGGGTTCCCGAAATTGTAGCATTTGACAACATTAATGCCTCAAGATTCCTTTGATTTTGAAGCCATTGAGGAAACCCATTTAAGATATTGCAAGAACTGAGATGGAGAGATAGTAATTGGAATGGAGGTATCCACTCACGTGAAACATTGAATGTCAACTTAGAGTTATAAGAAGTATCCAAGTTCCTCAACATCGAAAGGTTAGCAAAATGAGCTTCGGAAACTACTCCTTCAAAAGAATTGTAAGAGAGATCTAGAGAATGGAGTTTGGAAAGTTGACCAAAAGAAACCGGAATAGTCCCATTTAACAAATTGGAAGACATCAAAAGTTCTTGTAATGAAACAAGACTCCCTAGAGATGTAGGGATAGGACCATTTAATTGATTCAAAGAAAGGTCAAGTTTTACAAGGCTTCCAACAAATGTTGGAATGGGGCCTGTTAACATGTTGTCAGATACATCTAACACTAGTAAAGATCTTAATCTTTTCACAGATTCAGGAATTGGACCTATCAATCTGTTGTGCGATAGATCAAGCTCTAGAAGATTAGGCATGTTAGAAACCAATGAAGTCAGCGAATTTCCTGAAAGGTCAAGGACTCTTAGGGAACTCATGTTTGTTAAATAAGATGGAAATATGCCTTCAATTGAATTTCCGCTAAAATCCAGGTGTTGGATGTTAGAAAGGGTACTTAAATTAAGATGAGGGGGAGATAAATACATCTTGTCGAACCCAGAATATGTCAAATGCAACTCTGATACAAAAGGAATCATGTTTAGCAAGTTTGTAAAACTACCTGTGAAACTTAGATTAAAGGTTGAAAGATCAAGAAATGTGAGGGAGGTCATGTTTTGAAAAAATCCAGGGAGTGGACCTTGGTAATAGTTGAAGCTAAGATCTAGATGTTTGATGTTTGGAATTATTCTACTCGAATTAAGAGAATGAGAATGATCAATCTTGGAAAGTTTACATGATGACAAACTTAACTCTTTTAACAAAGGAATCATGTAAAGCATCATATCCCAATTTTGTGCTCCACTAAGATCCAAATAATTCATGTTGAGATGCTCGAGTGACAAAAGGCCAAAAGTCCATGTCATATCATCTTCCATCAACACTTCATTCCAACTGAGATCAAGAACGTTTAAATTAGTAAGATTTCCCACGTGAGGAGGAATGATACCATTAAAACCAGCATACGAGAGATTGAGGTAGGCCAACTGTTTGAAGGATCCGATGAAGTTAGGGATCCGGCTTCCTCCAAAATCATTCCCACTCAAGTCCAAGTATTTGAGATGCCTCAACTCAGCCAAAGAAGGATTTACCTCATCACCAAGTAAGAAGGAGTTGCCATAAAAAAAAGAGTGGTCTCCTTCAAGATGGACACTTTCTACATTTCCAGTGATATGATCACAACCGATTCTTTCCCACGTACAACAGTTATTGCCAACCCATGATGACAACATTCCGGAAGGATCTTGGACGCTTTGTTTGAAGTTGAGAAGAGCAATTCGCTCTTGCTCAGAGCAAATGACACTAATATTTTCAACACCCAAACAAGTATTTGTGGTTGCAACCAAAGAAATGGTTATGAAAATGAGATGGAACCCCAAACCCTTATGATTCTCCATTATCAACCCTTAGTTTTTAGAAATATTGAATTGGAAAAATGGATTGTTAGGTCCAACAACTAGTTCACTTAGAGGAACATAATTAAAGAACAACTTATTTTGACATGGAAGTCAATGGAGAGAATACAAAACAATGGGTGCCAAACACGCCTTTCCATTTTCAAGGAATTAAAAGATTGTTTATGAATAATTGAATATCTTAAATATATAATAGTGTTATAAATTAGAAACTTGATTGTGATGTTTAATGCTTTACGAAACTAACTACAATAAAATAAGTTTATTTATTTATTTATTTATTTATTTATTTATTTGTGTGTTATTTGACTTGGTAAGTTTGATATTTCACCTACAAAAGATAATTACAATTTAAATTTCAAAATTTCATCTTATCTTTTAGAAAATAATTTACTCTTGGAAAAGAAATTAAGATATTATTAGAAGTAACGATTCAAGTATTAAACCCATACCCATTGACTTGAAAATGGGTTGGATTTATTCCAACAGGTCTAACTAGTAAAATAAAAATATAAATAAAAACTTGACAAAAGATGAAACGGTCAGATTTGTTGAACAGGTCAAACTTGGCCCAAGGTATGCTCCAATGCTTACAAACCCTTTTCCACATAAAATATATATATAAAAAAGTATATTATTATTTTAATATTAATATATGAAGTAGAATGAAAAATATCTTGTTCTAGATTACTAGTCACCGTCTTTACACTGGATTTAGATTTAGAATATAGGTTTTTTAGATCACAAATTTCAAGCTTTGACGATCCGTTATAACAACCACATATCACATATGTGGTGGGTGTCATATCAGCATCATATTTTCATACCACTAACATGGGATACCTACCACTCTACATCATTATTTTTATTTTTTTAATTCAAAAATACAATATAATTACATTTTTTATAATTAAAAAACATTCATTTTTTTAAACTAGTTTTTCATTTATTATAAAAATAAAATTACAACTTCAAACTACATTACCTACTTAAAAAAACATTACATTAATTAAAAAAAAAAAACAAACATACATATAAAAAACCTAACCGTCGTTCATGCTACGTTGGTACAAATGTTCTGCGATATCTTCTCGAAGATTGAAACACATTTCAATGTTATGAATTTCAATAACTCGCTCTAAAAACGCATTCGTTCCAGGTACGAACTCCTCAATTGGAACGACAACGTCGTTCGGATCATACGTGCAAATCGTTCGACCTTCATCTTCAATAATCATATTATGCAGTATAATACATGCTAGGACCATTCGTTTAATTCTTTCTTTATCCTAGAGTCGTGTAGTATATTTCACTACATGTCATGTCTGCTTAAGCACTCCAAATGCCCTCTCGATACTCTTTCTCGCTGATTCCTGTTTTTTTGTAAACAACTTTGCCTTTTCACTTCGAGGAACCGAGTATGCCTTCATCAATGTAGAATAATTCGGGTATATCCCATCACCAAGGTAGTAACCGTATTTGTACGCGTGCCCGTTCACCGTGAACGTTATATCAGGTGCTTTGCCAGTCCAAATATCGTTGAAATGTGGAGGCTGGCCAAGAACATTAAGATCGTTGTTAGACCCAGCTACTTCAAAAAAGGAATGTCATATCCACAAATCTTGAGATACAACAACTTCTACGATGATAGTTGGTTCACCTATATCTCCTCGAGTGAACTGACCATGCCATGCATTTGGATATTTTTCCCAAGCCACATGCATACAATCTAGACTACCAAGCATACCTAAAAATCCATGCCTCTCTTCATGAGCCAAATATAATCTCTCAATATCACGTTGAGTAGGTTTGCACAAATATTCTTCGTGAAAAACCTCATACACACATGCAGAAAATCAATATACACATTCAACTGCGGTCCTCTCGGATACTTTCAAGTAGTCGTTAGATGCATCAAATGCTATACCGTATCCCAAATACCTAAGAGCAGCCCCACATTTTTGTATACTACTAAAACCCATTCTTCCTCTAGTATCGGGTTTTTGTTTGAAAAAATCATAACGAGATTCTAAAGCATTACTACTACGTAAAAATATAGCCTTATTCAGATGGAAACGATGTTTGAACGAATTGTCATTATAAAGACAATTATCGGCAAAGTAATCACGTACCAATAAGTCGTGTGCGGCTTGGCGATCACGATTGACGACTGCCCTTGTACGAGCAACATTCGAACTTTCTTCGTCGTGAACGTGTTGCACAACATTGAAGCATGTCTCAACGAATTCTACATCGTCATCCGAGTCAAAAGTTTTTAAAAATTCCATATGGTTTGTGGAATCCATGTATATGTGTTTTGTGGTTTTAGAGAATGAATGTGTTGTAAGAGAATGAATGTGTGTTTTGGTGAAAATAGAATGGTTTATTTATTTGTGTATTGAATTGAGTTTGAAAAAAAGGCCAAATGACCGTTCAATGGTAAAAAAATCAATAGCCAATCGTCGATTCCGTTTCCATTCGTCGTCGGGAACACGAAAGACAACAACCACGCCCGACCACGGAATGTCAGGGTGATGTGTACGAACTTTGCTCGTAGCCAACTAGATCACGAATCATTTCATGGTATGTATACCACAAGGCCTAAGCGTCCTATCCATGAATCAGAAAGAATTTGAGATAACAAACCTTTAACAACATGGTTGGGAGGTTAAGGAGCAAGGTTAGTCATAAAATATAATATGAAATCCTTGATACATAATTAAAAAGGTAATGGGTTATGAAGAAACTAAATTTCCCATGAAATTGAGAAACCCCATATACAATTATAAAAATTCCTACAACTTAACAAAGATTCATTCATAAACTACGTTTAATACAGAAACGCTACCCAACATAAAGTTATTCTATTAAAAGAATAAATTCAGTAAGAATACTATAACAGGTAGGTTTAGAGACACTATAAATACTTACATAGATCCAAGTAGAAGAATGCATACAATGAATTCTAGCAACAGATTCAACGTTTGAACAACGATGATTGAATCTACAAAATCTGATGCTCACAATCTTTGGTCTCGCAATGTTTGACTTTGCAGGAATTAGGCAAATAGATCTAGGAATAAAATTCATGGAAATTAAAGAGCACAAAATGCTTGATTTCGCAGGAATTAGGGATAGACCGAGAATCCTTACTTTCAATCGCCGAAGGAGAAACTCTTGGTTTGTTGTAGGCTTCGATCCATCGAGAGTCAGCAGGGTTTAAGGTTTCACTGTCTATAAGTTTTTATTTCCCATTTTACTCTCCCCTAATAAACTTTACTCTTTTATTCGGAGCATGTTTATAACTTATGAAAACAAGGTTATAAAATTAATTAATTAAACTTTTATTGTAAAAATTCAGAATTATTAATCAATTACAGTATTTTAAATAAATTATTAATTAGAAGATGCTTTTTAGTTATATAAAATTATAATTGCTGGTTTAAATAATTACATGAAATTATACCACCTTATAATTTGTATTAATTTTATTGAAGTTTTATTATAATGTTATCAATTTAATGTAATTAGAATAAGAAATTTGAAATTTATAATTTGAAATGAAAAATCGTATCCAATGATCCAGGACGTAATCCTGGATGTGAAGAATAAAATAAATTTTTTGTTTTTCTTGCTTGATTTACAATTTTCTTGTAACGCCCTGTTCTAAAAGTGCTTTGCTTATTTATGAATTTCCGAGATCAAGAGTAAGGGCGTTTTGGTCTTTGGTGGGCAATGGGTTTCATTCGAGAAGGTTTCTGTAACATCCCAAGTTTGTCATTTGTAGTCCATGGGAATGGATGGGGTAAAGTCTTGAAAAGACGAGGGACTAATTTGTAAAATTAGGACCAGGAGGAGTACGTTGCGCGTACATAAGGGTACGCTGGGCGTACTAGGGCGCGCCCTAGTATGTTGGGCGTAATCTTGTGTACGTTGGGTGTACTCGTAAAAGATGAAAACCCTAATATCCCGGTTTGAGAGCTATCTAAGCATCCTTAAGGTTCATTTTCTCTCACCACTCTCAACCTCCATCCTTCAGAAACGTCCCAAACCGTAGATCTTGTGTGAGAGTGTGAGTAGGTGGGTATTTTGAGCTCTTGGAAGTGAAGGCATTACACCAAGAAGTTGGAGAAGAAGATTGGCTTGTAGATCTGAAGTTGGTTTGTGTCTTTGAAGCTCTAGAAGGTAAAAAGCTTGGAACTTTATGCTTGTATATCATAGATCTACCCATTCTAGCATTTTAGAACCATTTCTTGTCCCAAAAGTCCCAAGATGATGTATGTTGTGTTTTGGACGAAATGATCTGTCCTTTTAGACTCTTGATGGGGGTGTTGAGCGATAAAAATGAGGTCCCAATGGCTTATGAAGTCCCATGCAATTAGTAGAAAGGTCTTAATGGATTAAGAACTTTTTGGATGTCCAAAGTGATAAAATTCGAGATTTTATGAGTCCTAGGCATAATTGGTCGATGAATCTGAGGTTTGGGCTTAAGAGCTTAAGCCATTAAGAACTTATGAGGATTTTTGTGGAACTTGCGTACGCCTAGCGTAGGAAGCTGTACACCCAGCGTATAGGGTCAACAACCCGTTTTCCAGTCAACCTGAGACAGAGTACGCCCCACTGTGACAACCCTATTTTTCCCAAAAGCATTGTAAACACTCGAAAGCTAAAAACAACGAAATTAACCTCGAAAATAAAGTGTTCAGGTATCTAAGTTGGGATGCATCAAATATTAGATATCATGCCCAGGTTTCCAAAAACATAAAGAACACTCAAAACCGAGTTATATTGAAGAAATTATAACCACTCGTATAATTAACGACACGACGTTAAAACATAATTTGACGTAAAAAGTGGAATCTCAATAAAGTACATTTTAGCCTTAAAGTATCTAAACAAAAGTCGTAGATCTCGTTAAAAGATGAGCGTGCATAAAAAGATCGCCCAAATTGGACCTCGTATGAAGAAGTTACGAATTTTCA